GTTCTTAACTTCTTATTATAGTTCTTAGCAGTGAAATTACTGTTGCAGTTATGAAAAATATTGACATGACCCAGCTTTGACACAGTTTTGTCATCTTAACGGTCACGTTTCATGATATTAAGAGTTTTGACCTTGTTCCAAATACACTGATGAGCACATTTCTGAATGCGCCCGACTGAGACGGCTGCGTTCAAACTATCCTGGTTCTTTTCTGTAAGTGCGTGTGCTCATTTGAATAGAAGAGCTGTATTGTACACATTAATGGATGGGCGAAGTGATGAATCGCCAGTGTATTTGGGTCAGGGCTATCAGAAAATAGTGAATAGCGTTATTGTTCGCATCAGAACGCACCTACACTCTCTGCATAGCCAGTATCCTGTTCTCTTATCGAACTATAAATATCTTTCTGGCTCAGCTTTTTCCGTTTATTTTCACTGTCGTCTCCATACCTGCAACCCCCCCCCCCCACGTGGTCCAGACATATAGCTATAGGCTGATTTGGTGCTCAAGAAATATTTGTATTTCTTATCAATGTTGAAAACCGTTGCAACCTAATAATTTTGTGGTGGAAACTATGATACCTGTATTTTTCAGTATTCTTTGATAAACATGAAGTTTAAAAGAACTGAATTTCTTTGAAATAGAAAGGTTTTGTACCATAAATGTGTTTACTGTCGCTTTTGATTAATTCAATGTGGCCTTGCTTAATAAAACAAAAATGAAAAGAAAGAAAAAAAGCTGTATATGTTCAAAATTCCCAACATTCCTGCAATAATCGCCTCAAACTCCTGTCGTTTACTTTCATCAGTCTCCTCTTTCTTGTATCTTGCGTCATGCATTTATCACCCAGCTTCCTATTTTTCCGCTGTTATTTTCTCACTCCCGCTTCATCTCTTTCCATCTTTCTGACCTACCTTACCTCACCTCATCTCTTCTCCATTTGTTTCAGTTTACAGCTGTTCCAGTAACCATGGAGACCTGTCAACACGTGGTATTCTCCTCAGATGAACCGCGGCGGTGGCGACAAAAACAGCACACACTGGTGGCGTCTGGCGTATGGCGTTCGGACGGATTCTTTAATATGACGTTGCAACATGCACTCGTCTCACTGAACGTGACGTCTGCGTCTGCCACATTACTGTTCGTCTGCCTGAACGTGACGTCTTCGTGACATCTGCGTCTACCAGGTTTCCAGCACATTCCATACACTTATTTGTGCTTTATTATACCTATTCATTCTCTATTATTGTTTTCACTTATCCTCAATTATGTTTAATTAGCAATTAAGTGCTTTTTACCTTTCTTATGTATAGCTTTTTATTCCAAAAAGTAAATATTTATACAAATGATATAAAAAATTCTGTATGACATTGCTTCTTGTCCACATATCCACAGATACTTATGAAGAAATCATAAAAATAAGTTGTTCTAGCATGTATTCACCACTAGGAGTCTCTAGACCAACACAAAAGAACGCATTTTTAAACATTGCTATATTTTGGGCTAATTTAACTAACATAAACAATATTTGTAATTTTTTATTTTGGAGTTCTGGTTTTTAAATTAAACTATAATACTTGAAACTTAGTGAAAATGAAAATTTAAGAAAAGATTGGATTGCTGTATTAAATTTAGAACTGCTCATGTTACATCTTATTTCATTTTTACGCGTTTTTACTGACTGCTCATTTAGAGTGTGTTCTTTCACTGCATGATTTAGTCTAATAAAATGCATTTAGAATGCTCCCAAAATTCAAGATATGTGGACAGAAAATGTAGGCCTATATCAGTGGCGTAGCAAGTCAGCATCGGGCCTATATGCAAAAAAATAAAATAAAATAAATGAAGTAAATAGCGTTATGTGGATCGTGCTTCACAAGCTGTTTTATTTACAGAATAAATGCTTGGAAATAATATTTAACGTTTTCAAGTCCATTCATTATTTGTAGCACGCAAGCCACCCAATAATCGCAGCTTTGTGCTTTGTTAAAGTGCCTACTTTCAATTTTATGATAAAATATATAGAATAAAAGTGTTTTTACGCTCTTTAATTTGTACTGAGATAATTCGGCAGTAGTGGCATATGAATCAATGATATTTTCCTCTTTAATATTTGCAGCAAGAACAATGAATATTTGAATGCATGTTAAAAAAATCTGAACAATTTAATACAAACGAATGTCTCATGAAATCGATCAATCAGAGTTTCAAAAAACGTGGCACTAATGCCGCCGTAGGCTACTGAATGCAAGCACAAATTTGGCACAGCGGCCAAAAAAAACAAAAACAAACAACAACAAAAAAAGTACAAAATAAAAAATAAATTAAAATAATAATAAAACATAGTGAGGGGATATTTGAATTATTTGTTAATAAACTAGTGTTTTCTGAGTCAGTGTCAAAGATGAAGCTGCTGATCCTGACTCGCCATCTCCTTAACTGGACGCGCATTTAGAGAGAAATTACATAATGAAAGAGTTTTTGTTTTCGATTTGAATTATTTCGTTTTAAAGTAGCAATTTAAAGCATTTGAGAGAGAGCTCGCGCTGGCGCCTCCATGTCCAGCAAAGCGCGCTTCAGCTTCAACTCTCGGCACAAACGATCAGGGGTGCGTTTCCCAAAACGACGAAACTTGCGACCATAGTTGCTTTTGGGAAACGCACCCCAGATATGCGCTTAATAGCGCACATTTATCTAGGTTAAATGTTTTAATTAATATGGTGAAAAGCATGAAGTGTTTTTTTTATCCATAGATTTTATTTTAGGCAAGTCGTGTTGAATTGAGAAGAAGGCTAAATTGATCAAACATCATCGCGCTTCCTGCCGCTGGCCGCTTGGTCGTTCCTTTAAAAAACAAAAACTTGAATTTAACAAACATAGAATGTTCCAAACATATTTCTAAATTAACTTAATAAAGAAACGAAAAGAAATATGACCACTTTGCCATTATTTATTTATTTATTTATTGATTGATTTATTGAAGGGGCGGGGTCTGGTTAATATTGTGAAATATCATTACAATTTAAAATAATGGTTTTCTATTGTAATATACCTTATATTTATTTCTGAGATGCAAAGCTGAATTTTCAGCATCATTACTACAGTCTTCTCTGTCACAATGTAATGTATTGTAGCTTCAATGTATTGTCAATGTCGGAAACAATTGTGCTGCTTAATATTTTTCTGTGGAAAAATGATTTTTACAGGATTTAAAATTATTTTTACAGGATTGATTGATGAATTCTGGCAGATTATTATTCAAAATATAGAAATCTGATCAATTTAACATTATTGCTGAATAAAAGTATTAATTTTCTTTCAAAAAAGAAAGGAAAAAATAAATGAATAATAAAATAAGTGCTGTTCTTTTATTCTTCAAAGAATCCTAATATAATGTTTTAAACGTAAAATAAAGCAAAGAAGAGAGGCGCTTGAAAAACTGAACATTAATCAGGCATACTGTATTTTCTATGTATTTTTCTATTATTTTATTATTATTTTACCGCAACAGTCTCAGATAGCAGACGATTGCGATCGACGGGTTGGCATCACTGATGTGCTGTAGGCTACATGACAAATGTGACAGATAAAAACACAATAACCCCCAAATGTAAAAGAAAATCAAAAAGGATTTCATAAAACTAAACGACATGAGTATACCTATAAGCAACACACTTTTTATACTTTTTTATGTTATCTTTATAGTGTGTTTTTTGAACATTAAAGCATGTCAACATATTCTGTTACACCAAATACACAAAGTAATGATCTTTAAAAAAGCATCATATGACCCCTTTAAGACGTCAGTGAGACGTTCAGTGAGATGAGTGCATGTTGCAGCGTCATATTAAAGATCCCGTCCGAACGCCATACTGGCGTGCGCGCGAGCCTGCGTTCCCTGACGCTTACATTCAAGACATCTGTCACACGCCGGCAGAGTGAGAAATCACGACACGCTCAAAACATAAATGTTCAATACTCAGCAGAGTACATACAGGAGACTGAGAGCAGTTTTGCCATGTTTGATGTCTTTAAATCTAGGTTGTTAAAGATGAACTTTAAATGAAGATTTTGTGGGTTTTGATCCATGTGTTTGTTTTAAAGCCATCTGTGCTATATGTACTCATAAACACTGACAAAACGTACTATTATTTAGCCTACATTAATTCTCTTCTGGCTGGGGAAACAACACAAAAATATTGATGACTCATCCTGCACTGCACAGTTTTTTGTCCAATCAAATGCTCTTTAGAATGACAGTGCCCCTCCCCCGCAGTAAAATAAAGGCGCAGTCACATTTAAGGTTGCTCTTCAAATTTCTGCAGATAATTATTGTAAATTTCCTTAATACATCGCTACACTATTGACAGTGGACCCTTTTGCCTGCAAAATGTAGGTAATTTGACCACACCTTGTTGCAAATCATGATTTATGGCTTTGATGTAACTATTTAAATAGAAATCTCTTGTCCCACGTAAACTTCTTGTTTTAATAGGAAACAAGTCAATACAGGACTAAAAAACGAAACATCAGCAATTTCAATTTCATGTAGGCTAACACAATCAACAGGCAAAAACACAGCTAATGATGACTGAATCAAAAAATAATGTATCTAGAAGAAGACTGACCAGCTGATAAACATTTTTAATTTTAGTAATATATGTTAATAATATAAAGTATGACCTTTCTTTAAACGTATTCCATATTATGATCTAGACTTTCATATTAAAGATACTTAATTTAAAGAAAATGTTAGTATATATATTAGCTTGTGTTAACTTGACATGTTAATATATTAACTTGTGTTAACATTGACATGTTAAACATTACATCCTCCCCTTCTCCCAGTGTGCGGTGATTTTAGCTTGGCATCAGCCTCTCCAATGATATACATCTGTGGCAGAACAACAGTTGGAAACATGCACAATACATCTGCGGTAATTCAATAGCTGTAGTCATTTATTTGCATTACAGGTTTTTCCTCTAATAATATCAAAACAAAAAGAATTTAAATAACGTGATTACATTCCCAGTAGTATTGGAGAGAGGAGAGTTTCACAAAGCCATCGAGACAGTGAGAGAGCTGCATCGAGATTCATTGTTGCGTTGGAATATGATTCCCACAATTCCCACAGTGGCCAAACATATTGCATCCGTTCCCAGCAGTCTTTTCACGAATCCAGAAGCTTTCCTTTGTTTTTAGAGGTACAAAAATACATCTTTAGTTGTGATACATTCATAGAAATATAAAAATGTAAACCCCTATGCTCAAGCTTGGCATATCGCCGTCCCGTGACTTGCAGAGGGATGGAGAGGAGGAGTTCTGCAGGAAGGGGCACGAAGACACAGTCTGTCCTGAATTGTGGGAGGAAATATCAAGCTGACTCAAAGCAGTGATGAAGACTTTTGGGGGCCAGTTTATATTATATATAATATAAAAAGTCTGAAATGTCATGTTATTATACCTGAAATGTCAAGTAGAATAAATACGGTATTGGCTATATCAGTCACCCTTTACAGTGACAAGGAAATATAAATTCTGACATGCAGTTTCCAATAATAGGATAAAACAGACAGAATGAAACATACAGAGTGCATATAGAATAAGAGTTGAACAGTTAAAAGGGACAGTTCAGCACAAAATAAAAATTCTGGCATCATCTACTTACTCTCACATGGTTCCACATTATGAAGAAAGTTTTGAAATGCTGCTCTTCTCTTTTTTTGCTTTAGCTTTTTCTTCGCAAATTTCATATCCTCTGCTGTTTAAATGTGTCCATCATGTTGGTTAAGTGAAGCTTGAGAACCAATACCAATTGGTATTTTAGTTATTAACAGAAAACTAAAACAAAATTAAATGAACACAAAGTTAACTGAAATAAAAACAAAAACTAACATAACTGGGAAAAACTGAACCTAAACTCAAATACATTTTCATGACTTTAAAACGCTCCCAGATTAAGACTGTGAAATGGGAGGAAAGTGAGCAGAGAAAGAGAGAAGACAGAAAGAGGCAAAGCAGACAGACCACATCTGCGCCAGGGAGAGACGATTGACAGCAGGGGCCACTTTGCCACCGGCAACCAATCCCCCAAGACCAGTCCTAAAGAGCAAGCAAACAGAAACCCCCTTCCCCATGTCAATTCAACTTCTACTAGTAATAAACTTCAATGTTTGAGCACCCCACCCCCATCCCTCATGCCCCAGATCCCATTCCTTCAGAAACCTCTGCCACAAATACCCCTTTAGTGCTTGGCTACAGTATTATAACCCCGTTCCCCCCCTCCCCCCGAACAAACTGGCACGCATACTCAAGTACATGCACTCGCATACAGCGTCCGCACATTGTGTAAGACTCGTCCCTGCTGTTCCTCCCTCCTGCCCTGAGGGCCAAGCGGAGTAGAAAACAGAGGAGAGACAGTGTATGTCAAGATGACCTTCATGCTTCTATGGTGTCTACTGCACAACCCTACAAGGCGTCTCTACAACCTACTGCAAGGGTATACTCTCCACCCTCTTCAGAAGTCATGCAATTAAAAACAACAAATAGAAAGAAACTAAAGGGATATCCTGAAAAACTTTAGAACGATGCTTTAAAGCCAGCATTTGTGGTTTAGTTTTAATGTAAAGCAAACAATTAATCAATCTTGTCTTGTTGAAGTTGATAATGAAGGAGTTTACGAGACGTTCACACTGCAAGTGATGTGAAGCCACTTGAAGTCATTTCAATTTCTGGTCACATTAGCAGCAAATCACTAACTAATGTGATGCCACAGTGCAAGTGCTATTTTAGTATGATTTATATATTATTATAGTATTTATTATTATATTGAATGGGCTTTTATTACATTTTTTATTTTAGTTTAAGTTTTAGTCAGTTTGTTATGGAATTTTTGTTATTTGTATAAGGTTCTATTTCATAGTTAGAATTCAGCTTTAATTAATTTTATTTTATTTTATTTATATTTTTTATTTTAAGTTTAATAATGTTGTTATGTGCTTTTGTCATTTTTATTTAAATATGAAGAATTTAGCTTTAATTTGCTTATATTTTCATTTTAAGTTTTAGTAATGTTGTTATAAATTAGCTTTTATATTTATATTTTCATTTTAATTTTAGTTTACGTTTTAGCCATTTTGTTATGTGCTTTTGCCATTTTTATTAAGTTCTGTTTCATATTCATAATCCGAATTTAGCTCTAATTTATTTTTATTTTCATTTGAAGGTTTTAGTAATGTTTTTATGTGTTTTTGTCATTTTTGTTTGTTTTTTAATATTAAAAATTTGGCATCATTTCTTATTTTTATTTAGTTTGTCATTTTTCAACTTAGTTGCCAAGGCAGCAACTATTTTATATTTTATATTTTAATCAACCATTTTTTTTATAGTTTTAAATTTAAGTTGGCATCAACAACAGTTACAAAATTGTAAAAATATTTTAATGTATTATAAATTAACATGAATTAAAATATATTGACAAATTAACAATAATAAATATATGATGAATAATAAATGCTGTCAAAATTAGTTCATAATACCAAATGCATTAACAAATCAGATGTAAAGTGTTACCGGTTTCTGTGATTAGCATTAGCAGTGGCATTTAAAAGGGGATGCAGCTTCTCAAAGGCTTTTAGCATGCTGTCATCATGCTGTAAATTAGCATGCAAAAAGTCGTACAAGTTACCTGTCCTGCATACAGCCCTCTCTAAGAAGTTTCTAAATTCATCCCCTTTAAAACCTCGTCGCTACAGTCATCAAAGCACCGCTTTTGTAACTAATTCACAACCTTCAACAATAAATTCCAAGACAATTACTGTCAAACTTCAGATTTCCCGCTGTGAGCAATGCTCCCGTTATTATGCATAATCCATCTTTTTATGTGAGGACTATGGTAGTTTTGTGCAATTAAAGGTTAGTTGTTTAGCTTCTTTACTGAATATCTGTCAGCTTACTGTTGACAGTTTTGTAAGCATCTTACATGCCTAACTAGTCTGATAAGTATTCAGTGGAAATGACAAGACTATTATTAATTATGCAATGCTTATTTAAGACTGACTAGTTGTTTAGACAACCCATCAACTAGTTAAGTTTGTTAAACATAGCAGATACAACGCATTTTTACACCATACAGGGCTAATCTGACTAAATTAGAGGATGAAGTCAGTTATCAAGCACTGCAAAGCTTGATTAGAAGAACTCATACTTTTAAGCATCTGATTAGAGAGTGAATATAAATCATTTGGCTCACTGAATATTGGGAGTCTCTCCAGACTCTACTCAAACTGTGAAATTTATTCCTATCTTTTCAGTCATGGTGTTTCCATAAAATTCTTAGAAGTACAGTATGTGAAGAAATGTTCCAAGTTTAAAAAAAGTTAGTTTTCCAAGACGAAAACGAGACCATTTTTAAACGGGAATACTGTTCTAGGTCAGATAACATCTGATTATGTTACCAACATAATTCTCGTATGCAAGTGAAGTTTCCTCCTTATAACCGGTGCTATGAGAATAGTGACATTATGGCAATTACTGGACACATTTTCAGAAAAAACTGTGTACACTTTAGTGTCTATTCCAAAGAAGGCCATTGGAATTGCATTAATATAACTGCAATTTAGAACCTGAGGAACGGTGTCAAAGGAACAGTTATTTTTGGCTAATAACTGGTAGCATGTTCCAAATGCTGTTGATAAAGTGTAACTTTTCATTGCACAGAACTTTTGCGAAGGACTTTAGGCATCAATGATTAGATTAAATTACAAGTTAAGTAAAACTTTGATGGATCTTTTTTTTTTTAAGTCAGTTACATCAAAAGGTAAATTGCTCTAATATGAATGATTAAATGCTAGTCGGTCAGACTAGCTAAGACACAGTCTTAAAGTGGCTGTATGCAACTGGCTTAATATGAACAGTATTTGGATGTATAATCAATGCAGTCAACATGAAATGTGAATCACAATCAGAAATTAAACTTTCTGCTGTTGGAACTCCAACTAGTTTTCCTGATTAGAGATATCCCTTTAGTTTCTAGCATTGAAAGACATGCCGTTAGAGAGATTATCTTAAAAAGTGAGATGGTAAACACTTATATCTTCGAAGGAACCATTGCTCCATGGCTTTGGCAGAGCGTGTACCACTTATCTTATCAGTCCAGTCCTGAGTCCAGGTTAACACGCAGATTCCAGTGGAACTTGTCCATTTTAAAGGTTGACTGCTACAAACCCAGGGACCTGAGATCCTCCCCTTCTCCCAGCGATGGCTGTCCGGCTCTGGGTAAAGTTCCAGGGGTGTGTGAGATGTGTTGGTGATGCTGCGGATGAGGCGTCTCCAGGCTCTGCGAGCGGGTCCGAGCGACTGCGCTGTGCGGAGAAAGGGTCAATAACGGCTCTCTGAATCTGTCTGTATGGGGGGATGAGGAAAGTGTGATGGGAAAGGAACCGGGAGATGAGGTGGGGCAGACCAGCTGCAGTTCTTGTGGTCTGAGCGGATGGGATACAAGTCCTCCTGGACGTATTCCAGGGTGCATCGGTGAAGAAAAAGGAGGGCTGGTCCAAGAAGAACCCTGGCTCGGGAAGGGGACGGGAGGTGATGGATATCCCGAGGTAAACGTGGATGTACAGACACCTGGTGTTTGAGGAGAGGCCATCATGGATTCCATGAGAAAGGCAAGACTCCGCATGACTCGTCCCAGCTCTGCCACCTCCCGTCCGAGAGAGTTCACCTGTAAGACATAAACAGGTGTCACATTCGACCTTTACAGGCATTAGGAAACAGTATATTACTGTTATACTCTTTCTTCACAATAGAGAATCACTGACTGAGGCTATTGTGATTGTTAGTATCAATGTCATTTTTTTGGATTTCAAATGATTTCAAATTTTTTGTCTGTTACAAAAAAAGTGTATTTTAGTAATTTTTTTCCTTTTTTGAAATCTTTATTTTTTGATTTGTTAAAAAAATGTCATTTGAATGAATTTAATTTCTCTTTACAATATAACATTACACAATGCAATGTTATGACAATTATTTTGATACATTAACAGGTGTTTGCAAGTAATGTTTATAAAAATATAAAAACACACTGAAAAAAATGTTTCATTCATCCAATTAAAAAAAATGTAGGGTAATGATTCACATCTATATTTTTTAACTTGAGCCAATGAAAAATAAATGTCAGCTTACTGTTGACAGTTTTGTAAGCATCTTACATGCCTAACTAGTCTGATAAGTATTCAGTGGAAATGACAAGACTATTATTAATTATGCAATGCTTATTTAAGACTGACTAGTTGTTTAGACAACCCATCAACTAGTTAAGTTTGTTAAACATAGCAGATACAACGCATTTTTACACCATACAGGGCTAATCTGACTAAATTAGAGGATGAAGTCAGTTATCAAGCACTGCAAAGCTTGATTAGAAGAACTCATACTTTTAAGCATCTGATTAGAGAGTGAATATAAATCATTTGGCTCACTGAATATTGGGAGTCTCTCCAGACTCTACTCAAACTGTGAAATTTATTCCTATCTTTTCAGTCATGGTGTTTCCATAAAATTCTTAGAAGTACAGTATGTGAAGAAATGTTCCAAGTTTAAAAAAAGTTAGTTTTCCAAGACGAAAACGAGACCATTTTTAAACGGGAATACTGTTCTAGGTCAGATAACATCTGATTATGTTACCAACATAATTCTCGTATGCAAGTGAAGTTTCCTCCTTATAACCGGTGCTATGAGAATAGTGACATTATGGCAATTACTGGACACATTTTCAGAAAAAACTGTGTACACTTTAGTGTCTATTCCAAAGAAGGCCATTGGAATTGCATTAATATAACTGCAATTTAGAACCTGAGGAACGGTGTCAAAGGAACAGTTATTTTTGGCTAATAACTGGTAGCATGTTCCAAATGCTGTTGATAAAGTGTAACTTTTCATTGCACAGAACTTTTGCGAAGGACTTTAGGCATCAATGATTAGATTAAATTACAAGTTAAGTAAAACTTTGATGGATCTTTTTTTTTTTAAGTCAGTTACATCAAAAGGTAAATTGCTCTAATATGAATGATTAAATGCTAGTCGGTCAGACTAGCTAAGACACAGTCTTAAAGTGGCTGTATGCAACTGGCTTAATATGAACAGTATTTGGATGTATAATCAATGCAGTCAACATGAAATGTGAATCACAATCAGAAATTAAACTTTCTGCTGTTGGAACTCCAACTAGTTTTCCTGATTAGAGATATCCCTTTAGTTTCTAGCATTGAAAGACATGCCGTTAGAGAGATTATCTTAAAAAGTGAGATGGTAAACACTTATATCTTCGAAGGAACCATTGCTCCATGGCTTTGGCAGAGCGTGTACCACTTATCTTATCAGTCCAGTCCTGAGTCCAGGTTAACACGCAGATTCCAGTGGAACTTGTCCATTTTAAAGGTTGACTGCTACAAACCCAGGGACCTGAGATCCTCCCCTTCTCCCAGCGATGGCTGTCCGGCTCTGGGTAAAGTTCCAGGGGTGTGTGAGATGTGTTGGTGATGCTGCGGATGAGGCGTCTCCAGGCTCTGCGAGCGGGTCCGAGCGACTGCGCTGTGCGGAGAAAGGGTCAATAACGGCTCTCTGAATCTGTCTGTATGGGGGGATGAGGAAAGTGTGATGGGAAAGGAACCGGGAGATGAGGTGGGGCAGACCAGCTGCAGTTCTTGTGGTCTGAGCGGATGGGATACAAGTCCTCCTGGACGTATTCCAGGGTGCATCGGTGAAGAAAAAGGAGGGCTGGTCCAAGAAGAACCCTGGCTCGGGAAGGGGACGGGAGGTGATGGATATCCCGAGGTAAACGTGGATGTACAGACACCTGGTGTTTGAGGAGAGGCCATCATGGATTCCATGAGAAAGGCAAGACTCCGCATGACTCGTCCCAGCTCTGCCACCTCCCGTCCGAGAGAGTTCACCTGTAAGACATAAACAGGTGTCACATTCGACCTTTACAGGCATTAGGAAACAGTATATTACTGTTATACTCTTTCTTCACAATAGAGAATCACTGACTGAGGCTATTGTGATTGTTAGTATCAATGTCATTTTTTTGGATTTCAAATGATTTCAAATTTTTTGTCTGTTACAAAAAAAGTGTATTTTAGTAATTTTTTTCCTTTTTTGAAATCTTTATTTTTTGATTTGTTAAAAAAATGTCATTTGAATGAATTTAATTTCTCTTTACAATATAACATTACACAATGCAATGTTATGACAATTATTTTGATACATTAACAGGTGTTTGCAAGTAATGTTTATAAAAATATAAAAACACACTGAAAAAAATGTTTCATTCATCCAATTAAAAAAAATGTAGGGTAATGATTCACATCTATATTTTTTAACTTGAGCCAATGAAAAATAAATAACTTGCCCTAAGGGTTAAGTTCCAGTTAAAAAGTTGCAGTTCCCCACAGCAACAGAACAGTATGATCTTCTGAGGGCATGGGTTGTCCCTCTGCGTCCCCCCATCTGTCATTGTCTGCTGCAGCCAGCAGCTTGCAGGTGAAACTGTGGCATTATTTATTTAGGTCCCATGGGACATCATTGTTCGTTGTTGACTTATTGATATTTAGTTATTTTTGGGTTCTCTCTTAAGAAAGATCATTAATTAAAGTCCCCAGTGTAGGTCCTGATTACTTCCCACATGGTCTATGTGAATATTTTCTTTTCCTTTTTTTTTTTTTTTGCTTTTGAATCTGGGTGAAAAGTATAAAACCTGAACAAATTAATTTATATTAAATACAATAATAACAAACAAATAAATAAATACATTCTAATTTATATATAAAAAGTTGAGAAACATGGAAAACAACATCATAATATTAAACATTTCAATAGCACGGACTTGAACTTTTTAAAAATGTGTTTATGTACAACAAGCTCATAACTATGCTAAAAACAAATGCATTTTCGGGTTACTCCGAATAAAACTGTTTCAAAAAGTTGATTAGGTCTTGCCCCAGAAAAGCCATTTCCATTCATAAAGCCACCAGCATTACAATTCCTCCAACTGATTTTTCTATAACACTTACAGTTATTATGAGGTAACCACAGCTCACTAAATTCAATTTGGATTCTCATAATTACTCGTCCTGTGTATCTTCTTGCACCGTTTGTGCTCTATACACATCCCCTAATAAGCTCAGAGTAATAATGTTCGTGACTGTCCAGAACACAGCACAGATGATCCAGATTCAGATGGACACCGATTTGGCTGTCACCCTCAGAATCGTGCCAACAAGTGATAATACCAAATAATGAGGGTAATTGGGTAATGATCCATAAATGCCATCAGTGGCAGGGAGGTACAAGACAACAGTTTCAAACAGGAAGGGACAACAGGAAGAGAGCACTCATCCTCTTGGTAGACCGAATCAAGCATGGATTACAACAAAATCCTGCTGAGAGGCCGGCTGTCAAAAATATATAGTGAGATACAAGAGACAGAGACAGAGATAGAGAGGAAAAAATGAGGAAGAGGCTCAGCAGCAGGGCATCCCTCTCACGACAATACCTGTCAAAAGCCTCATGTCAAAGCCGTGGGCTGACAATCAAGACTCTGGACTGTCACATGGATTTATATACCCACGCCAATGCTCAGCTGAACTACAGTTCTCTGTCATTGTCCGATCTGGATTCAATTATGTGATAAAAACTGCAAATCTAATGATTATATATATATATATATATATATATATATATATATATATATACGTATATACATATATATACCACAGCCTTTATACTGAATATGTGGTATCAGCCTTAAATTGAAGCAACAACCCTGCTGTTAATTTTCCTCAAATAAACATCTTTACAAACCGCCTTTGAATTTATAATGAATTACACAGAATCATGTATATGTGCGATTCGTGGGAAACCATGCGGTGGGTTCAAGGGCGTTGTGGAATGTTGGAATGTTGGAATGTTATCTTCCATCATCATGGGGCCAGTCCCACTTTCCTCTTCTAATGAGTTTCGTTGTTGACTTATTGATATTTAGTTATTTTTGGGTTCTCTCTTAAGAAAGATCATTAATTAAAGTCCCCAGTGTAGGTCCTGATTACTTCCCACATGGTCTATGTGAATATTTTCTTTTCCTTTTTTTTTTTTTTTGCTTTTGAATCTGGGTGAAAAGTATAAAACCTGAACAAATTAATTTATATTAAATACAATAATAACAAACAAATAAATAAATACATTCTAATTTATATATAAAAAGTTGAGAAACATGGAAAACAACATCATAATATTAAACATTTCAATAGCACGGACTTGAACTTTTTAAAAATGTGTTTATGTACAACAAGCTCATAACTATGCTAAAAACAAATGCATTTTCGGGTTACTCCGAATAAAACTGTTTCAAAAAGTTGATTAGGTCTTGCCCCAGAAAAGCCATTTCCATTCATAAAGCCACCAGCATTACAATTCCTCCAACTGATTTTTCTATAACACTTACAGTTATTATGAGGTAACCACAGCTCACTAAATTCAATTTGGATTCTCATAATTACTCGTCCTGTGTATCTTCTTGCACCGTTTGTGCTCTATACACATCCCCTAATAAGCTCAGAGTAATAATGTTCGTGACTGTCCAGAACACAGCACAGATGATCCAGATTCAGATGGACACCGATTTGGCTGTCACCCTCAGAATCGTGCCAACAAGTGATAATACCAAATAATGAGGGTAATTGGGTAATGATCCATAAATGCCATCAGTGGCAGGGAGGTACAAGACAACAGTTTCAAACAGGAAGGGACAACAGGAAGAGAGCACTCATCCTCTTGGTAGACCGAATCAAGCATGGATTACAACAAAATCCTGCTGAGAGGCCGGCTGTCAAAAATATATAGTGAGATACAAGAGACAGAGACAGAGATAGAGAGGAAAAAATGAGGAAGAGGCTCAGCAGCAGGGCATCCCTCTCACGACAATACCTGTCAAAAGCCTCATGTCAAAGCCGTGGGCTGACAATCAAGACTCTGGACTGTCACATGGATTTATATACCCACGCCAATGCTCAGCTGAACTACAGTTCTCTGTCATTGTCCGATCTGGATTCAATTATGTGATAAAAACTGCAGCGGTAATTAAATAGTTAATTTAGGATTTTAAGAATATATTACACTGGGGAAAAACATGGAAAAATACATCAAAATCTTCAAGACAGACTTACAGTAAGACTTCTAAGTCCTGATGGATTTTTTTATTAAACATTAATGTTCAGTTAATTTTAATGATAATATTCAATTAATATTAAAAATGTAATGAATTCACTTAAACATTGCACATTTATGTGAGTGACCAGTAGGGCCTGACCTGAGATGGCCTGACAAAGCCCTTCAATGATGAAAAAAAAAAAAAACTTTTACAGTAGTAGAAGTTGTGTAGTTAGGGGATTCATTTTGATTTAAAAATAGATTTATGTTTATCAATTCTATATAGAACTGTTCGTGAAACAGTACACAAAACAGATTCAATTATTAATTTGTGCAATTGCTCAAAAATATTCCATGTATAAGTTCCATTTTGCATGCTTTAAAATGTATTTATAAAAACTGTATTATATATTAATTTAATCATATTTTTTTATATAATGAAAATAATATATAATACAATCTAATGATTATATATATATATCCATGCGGTGGGTTCAAGGGCGTTGTGGAATGTTGGAATGTTGGAATGTTATCTTCCATCATCATGGGGCCAGTCCCACTTTCCTCTTCTAATGAGTTTTATGTCCTCTAGTGTTTGAATAACATCCCCTTCTCCTCTCTCGCAGCAGCCCGCCATATGGCTTGAGCGTACCTGGCACCAGGAGCTCACCTGAGCTGCACTGGGTTCGATCTGTCAGTATTCACATTTACTGCAGAGTTATCACCCATAAAACCCACACTTTCCAGATAAACTGTAAGTGCAGACCTACCATTAAATTACACAGCAAAAAATGATATAAGACTGACAGAGATTAAACAGAAAATAATTTACCTCTTGGTTAAGGTGGCGTAGCTGTCCTCTGGTGTCCTCTGATTTAGCTGCTAATTCTGCACAGAGAAAAAAACAATTATGTCCAACTGCCTAACACTGACAGAACTTCCAGTGAAAACTCATTACAAAGACTTCAAGGAAGAGTTCACCACAAAAATGAAAATTCTGTCACCACTCACACTCATGTCTTTCAAGACCAGTATGATTTTCTTTCTTCCAAGAAACAAAAAAGGAGGTATTTAGCTAAATTTCTAAGCTGCCTTTTTTGTATGAAAATAAACTGTGATTTAAAATGACAAGGTCCAAAACAGATAAAGGACAGTCTTCTGAACATCTTTGTTTGTGGAAAAGACCAAAATTCAAGAAAAGCAGTCTTCATTTTTTCATTTACACTGACTGTAAATAAGATCTGTAATATCTGTAAATAGGAGGAAAGGAACAGCTTAGACATTTGTGTTTTACAGAAAAATCATACAGATATAAAACAACACAAGCTGTGGGTGAAAAAATTTTACTGACCCTTAGGTCATCCAAGATGTAGATGATTTGTTTCTTTATCAGAACAGATTTGGAGAAATTTAGCAATACATCACTTGTTCAGTCAATGGGTGCCGTCAGAATTAGAGTCCAAACAGCTGATAAAAACAATACATCCACAAGTAATCCACATGACTCCAGTACTTCTCGTGAAGTGAAAATATGTGTTTGTAAAAACAAATTCCTCATTAAAACATTTTTAACTTCAAACCATTGCTTCCAGCTAAAATACGAGTAAAAAAGTCATCTCGCCTGAATCAGGAGAGAAATATTCACAGATCAAGAACCATTTACAAGTGAAAACAGTCCAAAACGAATATGTCGGTGGATTTTGATGTGAGAAGACAATAGGGATGGACTTTTTCACTGGAGGTGTTATTATGGATTATGGGATGGAATTTTGGCCAGAAGAGACAGTTCAAACTTGAAACGGCCCAATGATGTATTTGTTTCTTACAAACACACAGCTTTTCATTTTACAAAACGTTAATTGATGGGCTGGTGTTGTATGGATTACTTGTGGATTACCGTGACGTTTTTATCAGCTGTCTGGATGGCACCCATTCACTGCAGGGGATCCATTAGTGAGCAAGTGATATCATGATAAATTTCTCCTAATCTGCTCTGACGAAGAAACAAACTCTTTGACATCTTGGGATATTCTGAGGGTGAGTACCGTTTCAGCAAATTTTCATTTTTTGGGGTGAACTATTCCTTTAATGTGATAAACAAAAGATCATCATTAATAAATACTGGAAATGGAGTGATTGTTTACTGTGCGTCAGTCCTGGAATATTGGCATAAAGACAAAAGATGCCAATATTCATCAACTCATCCATCCCCTGTCAACACACACATATGCACACACACACATTCACTCGCCTGCTGTGGTGGCAGTGGTATTAGTTGCACCACTGATGGTGTGCTGATGGCCAGAGGAAAATATGAATGTGTGTGAATTTTCTGTACCATCACTGTCCTCTGTGCCGTCCACGACCCTGAACACACACAAACAGAAATCCACTTTACTGCTCTCACAAAGTCCTTCATGCACCAGTGAGCAAATGTCTATTCAAATACTGTATCTTTGAATGTTTTTTAAATGCATGCATGTGTGGGCGTGCACACACCTTGGGCTGAGATTTGCGAGGTCAGGATTTGTGACAGTGGTATGCTGAATGTGGAGCTTTTTGTTGGTTTGGTGATCATTTTTCATGTGCGTTTTCTGTTTGGTTCCACCACTGAGATACTCTATCTGATCATCTTCATCATCATCATCTCCCTCGTCTTGATGCTCAGCTATTGGTGGATAGCACTGGATCACGTCTCCATTTCCCTTCCCCTCCATCTGCGATTGGACAGAAGAGATAGCGCTGAGGTCGTGTGAGGCCAGATGAAAGTTGGATGACTAACCTTGGATGAATCAACTAGAAAAAGACTGACTTTTTTATTATTAACAATGAAACAAAAGTAGATCTAGTTAATGTGACAAAACAAGAACATCTAGTTAATGTGACAGTGCTTGCCTACTCCTTAGAAAATTTCTTTCTAAGCAGTCATTTAGGGGCTTTTATGTGGCATTTAGATAATTTTATGTTGGTCCCACATTTTCCTTGCCATCTTCTCCTTATCCATTGAAACAGTAAATAATTACCTAAGTGCTCACTCTCAAAAGACATGGTTTATTTAGATGGAACACATTTAATAAACAATGTTAAATAATGCAAAATGTTTTTCACTGATTTTTTTTTTTTTATGGAGAGAAAAACAAATAAATGGTTGACAGCAAATTGATTTGATTATCATTTCAATGATTTGATAAAAAAAAAAAAAGCCTTTACATAAACTGGCAAATTTATATCACTGTAATGGCATAGAAGAAAAAAATCATTTTGGACATATTATCAATATTAATATTAAATATTGTACACATCTCAAATTTATATTGATTTACTGTTAACACAAATTATTAAAAAAGTCATAGAGAAAGTTAATATTTTAAGACAGATGCATATGAATCTGAAAGATTTTTATTTAATGCATCAAAAATCTGAGAAAAAATTAAGTAAATAAATGAATAAATTAATGAATGATTAGATAGATAGATAGATAGATAGATAGATAGATAGATAGATAGAGAATGCACAAGTAGGTTTTCAGTATGGACTTCAATGTGGGTACCATTGGGGCATACAAACACACACACACACACACGAAAACACTCTTAAAAACAACCTACACACTTTCCCACAAGGACCAATTAGACAAAAGCTATGAAACAGCAGAAACACAGCAAAGTGAATGTCCTTAGGTAAAACTCATGTAATGGTAGTGGTCTTACCACTTGATCTTTGACCTTGCTAGCAATGACCTTAAGAAGACTTGACCTATAAGACATTTAAAACAACTGGCCTGACAGCTTTGATAAAATAATAATCTTTGACCCCTAGCCGTACGAGTGAGAGCGATCATGTCAGAACGAACCCTAAAGGCTCGACTTTTTCCCATTCAATAATAGTCAGTGTAATGGGTTTCACTGTGCTTTACACCTCACAGCTCTCACACGCATTGCCAATTACACAGTGAAACTCTGCAACGACGTTGGCTGGAAATAACAATCTCCATTTATAGAACACTTTAAATGTCAGTCCACTGAAAGGTGGCAGAGAAGTCAAGAGGTAAAACACAGCAAAGAGACGGAATAAACGTGAGGGGTATTCCACATCTCTCTCTCTTTTAATCTCGCTCTCCCTCTCTTCTTCTATATATATCTGATTAATTACACTTTTCGTACACTAATTTGGTCATTTTCCCTGTTGAATAATTGAGGCTCCCTCACACTGTAATTGAAAGAGTGGCAGTTTCCCAAAGCAGTCAGTCATCCGGCACTTCAATAACCACCCGCTCCTCCTTTTACCCCTCCCTCGCCTCTAAACGCACTGTTCCCCTTCCTCTAGCGCCGCTCCCTCCCTGATTACTGCTTCAGGCATGGAAGGACAGGGAATGGGGAAGATGATCATCACCATCATCATCATCAATTTTTCGTTCTCTCTCCCTGCTGTTTCAGAGCTGTAGTGTTCTTAGCTTCCCTCATTAGGCAAATGAGGCGGGAGGTAGATCATTGTTAGGGAAATGAGCCCCAAGCTATTATAGTCAACACAGCACTGTTAGTGGATAAGTGCGGAATGAATGACAGCAGAGGAGAAGACGCACCTGTGTGTCCATGGACTTACTGGACATCCTGGATATGACCTGGAAGGTGAGACATATGACAATATGTAAGCATACACTACTGTTCAAAAGTTTGGGGTCGTTTTTTTTTTTTTTTTAAAGAAATTAATAATTTTATTCAGCAAGAATATATTCAATTGTTTAAAAGAGAGAGTAAAGACATTTATAATGTTTCAAAAGATTTCTATTTTAAATAAAAGATGTTCTTTTGAACTTTCTATTCATTAGAAAATACAGAAAAAGTAAAGTTTCCACAAAATATTAGGTAGTGCAATTTTTTTTTACTTTTATAGTAAGATATGTTTCTTGAGCAAACAAAAAGGCATATTATAATGATTTCCGAAGGTAGTAATGGCTGCTGAAAATTCAGCTCTGCCAACACAGGAATAAATTACATTTTACAATATATTAAAATAGAAAACAGTTATTTGTCTGTCTGTCTATGTATCACTTTGCATGTGGGGTTAAAAAATGTTATATTTTGGTGGATCCTAAAAACAATATTAATCTTGTGTCCATGAAATCAAATAACTGAAGCAGGTTAGGATCAGGTCAGGCTTTTACCGAAATGCATTAAGGGTTCCAGCAACCAAAAACAAATAAATGAACGAGAAATTTCAGCATCACAATAGTCATGTGATGTCTTACATGGCTCTCTTGTCCCTCTCTCAGGTTGTAGGTGAGGTCGTGTGTTATGTCCTGCACAAAACGGTGGGAGTATTCAGGATACAGGTCGAGCACCTCATACAGACCCCTCAGATTAATGCACTGCAGGTCACAGTACGTCAGCGCCTTCACATCAGCATTTGTCTTTATCACACGGTCACCAACCGACATGTTTGCACCAATCAGGTCGCTTTTACCTGTACACGTCACACAGGAGCACACAAACAAAGAGGAAGAGGCAAAAAAACATCAATATCTTGTCAGATATCACTAGGAAACTGCAAGCGTGTTTAGTCAGTGTGTCAATATGTAAGTTCAACTGGAAAGCTAATCTGCCATGGGTTCCCTTAGGAGTACAGTATGTATAAAGCATACTGAAAACATGAGAAGGTTTCCAAGTAATGTTAACCACAGACCTTATTTTATTCATAGAAACCCCTATTCTTAAAATCAATTAGAATCTCCCAAGGGAGCCGTGGCCCGAAAATGCTAATTTGTTTAGCATTTTAACACTGTGGGACTTCAAACAGCTCTATTAGAGGCACAAAAGATACTGTTTAAGAAAGCATGTAAACACACAAAAACTAGCACAAGTGAACCGTCTTGAGAACTCAATGTCAGAGAGATCTTCCCCTGTCAGCAGGGTGGAGAGAGCGTGTGAGGGAAAGATGAGAAAGATAGTGTGTTTTTTCCTGTCAGAACTCATAAGGTGATATTAACACAAACACACACATACACACACACACACACACACACACACACAGGCAGGACCTAACAGGATGATGGGGATTATATTTTTTCGCACATTTGGTCCACTGTCCTATGAGCCTGCTGTGTGTGTGAAGCCTCACAGAGAGAGTGACCAATCACAGAGAGCAGCTTTTGTTGGCAACTGTAGGAACACATGGGCCCTGAAGTCTTCACTTAATGAGAAGCAGTCATTTTTCCCTTCATTCTACTTCCTCAGCGCACTAAAATTACATTGAGCTTTTCTGAGATAAAACTGTTTGCTTGTGTGTGGGTTTGTGTAAACTGACCGAGGATGGCTAGCACCATGCTGTCCTTTAGCACCTCCATGGAGCCGGAGCAGACAAAGAAAAGAGCCTGTAAAGCATCTCCCTGACGAAGAAGGTATTCGCCCGGCGCACAAAACGAAGTCTTTATGTGCAGGGAGAGAGAGCGGAGACATCCACGGCTCAGAGAGGAGAAGACGGACAGCTCTAGGATCTCTTTATTCAGATGCATCGCAATGTCTGAACGCAGCTCATCTGGAAAGTCTTTCAAGAGCTGGAGAGAGTGGACAGGAAGAAGAGAAAAAGAAAAAGGGATATGGAAAAAGAGAAAGGAAATAGAACAAGAATAGGAATAAAAATGGGAATAGAGAATAAAGAAAAAGGGAAAAGTAAAGGGAAAAAACAGAAAAAAGAGAAGAGGATAAGTGAAAATGAGAAAAATGGGAGAAAACATGAAAAAAGGAAAATGACAGAAAAAAATTTAAAGAAAAAGCAAAAGGAAAATGAAAATGAGAAGAAAAAAAGAAAAAACGCAGAGAAAAAGCAAAACGACAAAGAAAAATTAGAATGTTAAAAAAGAAATGTAAAAAATCAATAAAAATAGAAAAGCAAAAGTAAAAGAAAAGTGATAGAAAATGAAAGCAGAAAAAGAAGCAACAGAAAAGAGACAAGTAAAAGTGAAATAATAGACAGAAAAAGGCAACAGAAGAAAAAGAAAGGAATAAGAAAAAGAACAAGCAGAAAAATAAGAGAAGGGGAAAAAAATCAAGAATAAAAATACGAAAGGAAAAAAAAAAAAAAGAAGGCTGGAATTAAAATTTATTTACACTATAAGGAAGAGAAATATTGTGTTTTCTGTGTGAACTTATGTAACAGCACATTACATTCATTAAACTGGCATTAAAATCATTAAGCATGCTGCTTTATGAGTTTTCACCCTTAAAACAAAAACTGGAAGTATTCCGGCCATGCCTCATTCCTGCCCTCCGCCACCCTTCATCTGCTCTGCTCATCCATCCATATATGCAACCATCCTTCAGCCTGACTGAATGGCATCTGTCACTCTCCCCTTCACTCATGGCACACACATCCCTCTCTCTTTCTCTCGCTCTCTGTCTTCTGCTCTCCGGCCATCAGCCTCACCATCTATTATTCATAAATCTGTGATTTAGCAAGGTGTTTAGATTCCATCTCATTTTTTTTCCCACTCCCTCTCCTGACTCCGGAATAAAGTCCCAGGCTCAAGGCCGGAGCACACGCAGTCGTTCCCTCCTCAAGTGTCCAACTGTCTATCTTAATTATACTTGCCTTGACTGTTGCTTTGCTCTTGGCTTCAGAATGTTACTTCATTATAGTACATCACTTACAGTACCATAATGTGATGATACCATGATGTTTTTTATGTAAATACAATGTTATGTGAATATGGTTATCAGAGATCGGGCGATATTGGTTTTCAAGGGTCAAACTAGAATTTTTAAATTAACTAATTTTATTTGTTTATTTCTGCTTTTGATGTAATAATACTAAATAATCATTAGACACTAACAATTAAATCACTTCAAAATGAATAATACAATTTATATTATAAAATACAATAATATAAGTCAAATTAAAATAAAATTACAATAAATTACAATAACATTTTAGAATAGCCAATAAAAATATTAATAATACCAATAATAATTAACAAATTTATTATTGTACTATTATTTTTTATTTATACTTTACTTCAATCTAACTTTTAAGCTATACACTTCTCACTACACGAGTGAAGATCTGATTTATCGGCTGATCTGTATTTTTTTTAAATAGGAGATTTATACAAAAATCTGTCATGAAAATCTAGATGGCGCAGGCCGAACTCAATCTGATATAATCACATCATTATTCACATGGTGCAGCTGATTGGTTTCTTCTCACATCAGCAGCCAATGAACTTGCTGCTCAACATTCAAACACTCGGCCATTGCTTACTGTAGCAGTTGCAGCGCGCTTCAGAAACTCTCAACCTTCCCCAGCTCCACCTGTATAGATCTGCTATGGGGCAATTTCATGTTTGTTATATATGGGGGTTATTTTATATTTCCTACATGCTCACAGCAGCATGCAGGGGTTAAAGCAAAAAAAATCCTGAGCCTGAACTTTTTTCCGGGGGCGGGGGGAGGGGATGGGGCAGCACATGCAAAGCATGCAGTTTTATTGAACAACACTGTTAAAATACATAATGTAATATGCCTATACATAATATGAACATAACCAACTTAAGTACATTATGTATTATAACAAATACCTGCAGAGGGCGCCAACGGCCTGGTGACGTACTTTACAGCGTGATTAAACAATGTTTAAATCCATTCAATATTAATATTTGGCCACATGCAAACTCAGAAACTTTTATTTTGAAATCGCGATTTACAATAAATGGCATATTTAGAAATATGATGTATTCTCCTGAGTTGGCAAAGGTTTATAAATGATTTACAAATCTATTGAGAAAATGCAGTTTTCCCAGATGAATGTTAAGCAATTCAAATTCACAGCAAACCTACGTTCACTCTCTCCCTCTCACCTATCCTCTATGGTTTCATCCTCACTTCCTTCACCCTCTCAGTTTTCAGCACTGGACACAAACAGTGCTACTGACACTCTTTGCTCCACTCTAACATCTTGCTTAGACAACTTTTTTCCCCTTTCATCCAGACCAGCACACACTACCCCCTCTGCCCCTGGCTGTCCGATGTTCTCCGTGAACATCGCTCTAAACGCAGGGCTGCAGAGAGGAAATGGCGCAAATCAAAAAACTCTACCGA